GTAATGCAGACACGTAAGATTAGAGGCAAAAGGCAGGAGGCTGGTAAGGACAGGAAAGTGGAATGAACCAAACAGGGAAGGGACATGAATGAAGCAGGCCTGGTGGGATGCAATAGAGAGTAGTGTGGACTATGGCTAAAGGGAGCAGCTGCTCAGCTCAAGTCAATAGCTGCTTTATGGGAATCTGGGACTCCGCTTTCTGACTCTAATTTAAAGAAGGCAGGAACCCAGATTTTATATAAAACCTTATCATTTAAAAATATTGGCAACAAATTCAATTTAAAAATAAAAACTTGAGAAATGCAGAAGTTGTCTGTAGGGTGGATGTAGATTGCAACGTGACATTTCGAGACTTCTATTACAGATCTTTTATTAGAAACAAGATATCAAGCCAAGCACGATGCCAATATATTGTGCTATTTCTTCTTCTAAAATGAGTGTATGAGGATGGAGTGTCACACAAAAAAAATAATCAGGGGTTACACTTCAGGAATCAACTCAGTGATGGGCTCGCTGTCCTAGCCAGCGTATCCAGAAACAGTGGCATTAGGAGGATGCTGGTGGCTTTCAGAAGAAGGTGGATCCTCTCACCAAGTCTGAAGTGTCTCATCCCAGACTTAGAACTTGGCCGGATGTGGTCTATTGTACTTGGAATATTCAGTGTGGCCAGCGGCCTTGCCTTCTTGATTGCTCTCCTGTCTACCACATTCCAACCACAATGGCCTCCAGCTGCTTCCTCCAACAAACCAAACCCAGCTTGTCACCACTTTGCAGCTTTGGCCTTTGCAGTGTTCTCTTCTTCTGGCTTTTTCAGTGTCAGCTTCAACGTTACCTCTTAGGATAATTTTACTCTGACCACTGAGGGTAAAACAGGTCTCCACATCCATTCAAGCTATTTCATGTTTTTTTCAAATCAATTATCCTTATGTGACACTATTCATTTATTCACTTACCTATTTACTCTTAACCCACTAGAATGAAAGTTTAAATAACATGAGGGCAAGGTCTTCATCTTTCTTTTCCACAACTGAATCCCCAGCATGGGGAATCATACCTGCTGTCCAGTAAGTGCCCAATAAATGTATTGATTATAAACACTAGCAACAATAAATACATACAGAGCTTGTCATGTGCTAAGCACTGCTCTAATTGCTTTACAACCTTTACCCATTTACTCATCTGTGCAACCCTGTGACAGGTACTATTATTATCTTCATTTTAAAGATGAGAAAACTGAGGCACAGAGAGGTTAAGGTTACATAGCCAGTAAACAGCAGTTCTGGAATCCAGACCTAAGCCATCTGGCTCTTGAGTCCATGTCCACTATTCACTTTCCAGGGTCCTAGTGGAGCTTAAATTGGGGCTAGGGTTGGGAGAAAGTGAGAGTTGGGTGAAAAAGAAATCTGAATACTCATAAGTGAGTTTGATCCCTAAAAACAGAGAGGGTTCCTTTCATCTAGTGTGACTGTGTGCATCAAGATGGTATCATTCTGAAAAATACATTTCTAAGTTGTGATCTTCTTAGAGACATATATCCAAAAGCCTAATTATTCCGTCTCATCCTGTGTTTCTGCAGTTGATTTGCGAGATAAAGCCACAGGGCCATGTCTGTAACATTCTGATCTGTTCCAGGAATGCCTGTGATGAATCAAAATATTATTCTTTTAACAAATGAAGCAGTAAGCAGCAGGAGTTGGGTTACAAAGGACAATATTCAGAGAATGTTTAGACACATGATTAAATGACAATTTGGGGAGGAGTGCTAGAAAAAGGAGACTGTCGACACCTGAAGAGCTTTGTGTGTGTTGTGAAGTTGCTTATGAGTGAATGCCTGCAATGGAAGTTTACCTCTGTCTCCTGCTGTTTGCAGGAGTCTCACTTTCTCAATTTATATTCCTGACAGCCCTTTTTGTTCCTTCTAGTTACTGCCTTGGCACTTGACTAATCTGCTTTTTCATACATTAGGGTTGGAGTAGAATGCAAAGAAATCACAGGTAACATCTTATCAAAACGTCTAGATCCAACTGGATTTGTGGACTCAGACCCTACTCAAGACCTCATTACGAAGTTTGTTCATCCTAGACAATGAAAATAAGACCTGGAATAATTTGATAGGCATTTTGATTAATGATCTGAAAAGTTACCATCAATGAGTTACTTAAATATGTCTTGCTTCAACACTTAAACCAAGGGTATTCACATTATTGTCCAAAAGATCCGATAGTGTAGCTAAAGTGCCTCGCACAGTTCTGGGCACTTAGTAAATGATGCTGCTGATGATAAATACAATGACAGTTACCAGATTTCTAACACCCTTTTATCCTAGGCTAGAATGCAGAAGACAAGCTGCTCTCACACTATTGCATCCAAACATGCCTTACCACACTATCCCAAACATTTTTGTTTGCATTTCAAAGGAGATGGGAGATGGCTTGTTTAAAATTTTCAAATCAATTCACTTTGAATTCTCATTTGAATTTCCAAGAACTGACTACCTACTACTGATATAGATGCTTGTGCTACTCAAATCCAGATGGGTCCCCACCTCCACCCCGTGGCTACCATATGCCCCTTTGTCTGTGTTGAGAATAAGTTCTCTGGTGCTCAAATCGATTTTATTCCTTGGAACCAGGGCTGGTTTCATGGGTGTTCAGCCTATGTGGTTGCACAGGGTCTGTTCTCAGATGCATCTTTGTTGTTTTGTTTTGTTTTGTTTTGTTTGATTTTTTGAGACAGGGTCTCACTCTGCCACCCAGGCTGGAGTTCAGTGGCTCTATATCATCTCACAGCAACCTCCACCTCTCAGGCTCAAGTGGTTCTCATGCCTCAGCCTCCCAAGAGCTGGGATTACAGTTGCGCACCACCACACCCAGCTAATTTTTAAAATATTTTTAGTAGAGACAGGGTTTCGTCATGTTGCTCAGACTGGTCTCAAACTCCTGGGCTCAAGTGATCTGCCCATCTCAGCTTTCTAAAGTGCTGGGATTACAAGTGTTAGCCACCGCGCCCAGCCCCAAGTCTCTTTTGTTTTAATACTCTGCTGTCACCATTTTGAAATTCTTAATAACCCATGAAAAGTGACCTTGCAAATTACGTAGCCAGTCCTGCTAGAAACATACTGAATATCTGATATGTAGAAACATAAATAATTTTATAAATTTGGAATTTAAAAAATGTTATCAGAGTATTCTGTAGTTCTGAAAAAAAAATTCTACTGTAAATAGTTTAACCAGCACTTAGAATAGTCTTTCTGAGATCTCTGTAATTAGGATCAGAACTAAAATAAAAATTTCTAATGAGCTGAATTACCAAAATCCATTTGAAACTGGATTTGAAGAATATGAGGCCTATGACTGAGAATACGGTGTTCTTAGGAATACATCTTACAGCTTCTATCATTCCTTCTGGCTTGCTCAAGGAGTTTGCCCAAACTGAGCCCAACATCACTGGCTGGTAGAAAGGTTAGCCTTGGTGTCAGCAGGCCATAAGAAAGATCATGAGCCCCAGGAAACCACGGGGGCCCTTTTCCAAGGACCATTTTATCTCCCTGTTGGCTTGGAAAGCCATGGCATGGCATGAAGCCCAGTCAACCTTAATTCAGATGAATGTCATTTCACAATCACTTTTAAATCCAAAGTTCTGATTTTTAACTAAGATGTGCTTGCAGCTGGACAATGTTCAGGCATACAGAATAACCCAAATTAGTCTTAAAAAGCTGTATGTTTTCTTTCCTCAAATAGAGGTCCTTCTGGGACTAGCATTATTTAATGAATAGATGAGACTGGTGCATAATTAGCATATCAGTTGTTTAGCATATTCAGGAGAATAACCTTCAGCACTTTAAGAAATATATGTGTGTAAAAACTCTGAGTTCTGTTTATGGTTTTAATGTGTTCAGAAAAGCTCTTTTTCATGGATTCTCCAAAGGTCAGTTGTTGTTCAGCCTATGTCTGCATTTTCACAAACTGAGAATTTGAGAACTCCAAAATAAAAAGCTTTTCTATATAACAAATAAAGATGCTCAGTGGGAAGACTTCATAATACCCAGGCTATTACTCATTCTAAATGTCTCCTTCTGCCTTTTGCAGTGAAAGATGGCTCCATTAAGTTGGGACCTATTTTTTAATTGTTATTTGTTTTTTGGTCGCAAAAGTGAAAAAAAAAAATGCCTGATTGCAAGATGTATGTCAAGTTATAAAAGAAACCAAAGCTGTGTTTGATCCCTCGGCCAGCCTACCCTCTTCTCTCTGCCACTAACTCCTCCCTGCAGCAGATACCCTGCCAGGCCTTGCCTCCATGCCTGGTTCTCTCCTAAGGACTTCAGTCTCAGTGACAGGTCTGGTAGTCACCTTTGACTCACTGTTCTCTCCACCTCCTACTCATGTTCAATCTCTACCCACAACAGCCAAGGCAATCCCCTTAAAACATGAACCTGATTATGTCACTCTCCAACCAAAATCCTTCAATGCCTTATTATTAAGAAAAAGTCCAAAACCATGAAAATGGGTTTCAAGGTCCTGCAGGTCTAACCTTGGCCATCCTCTTGCACCCTTGTCTCACCATGGCCCAGCCTCACAGGGTTTCTTTGCCTTCTTTGAGAGCCTCAGGTTCCTCCCTCCACCATCACCAGGTTTTGCATTTGCTCTCTTTCTTCTTCAGAGAATACTCTTCCCCCAAGATCTCCCCTCTTTACGGCTCAAATTTTAGCATAAAATGTACAACTTCCTTGGGGAATCTTTCTGGGATCCCCAAGACAAGGTCAAGTCCTCACCTATATTTCCTCCTAGCCTGCCTTGCCTTCCTTGCACTTGAGGAATTTATAATCAAACATTTAGTTGTGTGATGGTTTTATAATGTGGGTCTCCCCTTCTAGAGTGTGAGCTTCCAGAAGTCTTGCTCTTCACTGTGGCCCCAGTGCAGCCCAGGGCCTCAAAGGTTGGAGGTGCTCCATTGGCACATCCTCCACCCTTGAGTGAGGAGGAGGGAACAGAATAACTCACCGCGCTCATGAGCGAGTCCAGGACACTGACGGCAAACGCTGTCCCGCAGGCAAAGGGCTGCGTGAGGTACAGTTCTGTATCGGGGTCATCATCATCGTCTTGGTCCAAAAACTGAACATTAGTATCATTCACTGGAAAAAGCATAAAATAAGAATTAGTTCTGAAGACCACACACAGGTAGTGAAGCCAGAGGGAGACCAGGCTACTGGTTTAGAAACACTGAAGTCATTGAGAAGGAAACAAAAGCATGGAAGAAGCTGTAGATGGATCTTTGGCTGAGGGCGCAGTGGGACTCAATGGACTGTTCCTGTGTCACTGTTTAAGTGTCTGAGACCTGAAGAGCAATGAGTTCGAGCAGGCTTGCCCCACGGCAGGCTGCTGGAGCACCAATAGACTGTGCTGGTCAGTCCTTTGGCATAGTTTTAGGATCATGACCTAAAAACACCTTCCAGTGCTTTTTGGTAATGAAGTCCTTTGAGAGATGGACATATTTCAATGATGAGCAGCCATGCTGGGATAGTCATTTTAGCCACAAAGAAAAGAAAGCAGCTTATTGGGAGTAAGGAGCGCTGGAAGGGGAGCACAGCAAGGCAGATAGCAAGGAATGCACCCGCAGGCCTATCCCACAGCCTACCCACTGGGATTGGCCTGGGTAGTTCCCCGGGGTCCCAGGCCCTAAATCTAGGTCCACACCCAACAGGCCCTGTTTAATACACAGGAAACCCCAGGTGGGACGAATGCCTGGCTGTCTCTTGCTGCTTGCTGACAAGGACTTGCTCTGAATTTTGAGTTGCATGGGGACGTCCCATGTTCTCCCTTTCCCCTCCTAAACAGCTCAATCTTTTATGTGCTTGCGTTCAAGCAGTTGCAGCATTGGATGCTGTATTTCATTTCCATCTGAGGATTCCTCAAGGACTCCTCCCGCACGCACGTGCAGACTGATTAGTCGTGTCACTCAGATGTCTTTAACTTATTAAAAATTAAATGACAAATTAATTTCCATTCCCATCTTGGCTTCGGAAATTATCAGTTTTGCAGAGCAAGTAATAGGGGAAAAGTCGGTGGGGGGATGGAAGAAAGGGGCACTCACAATTTCTGGAATAATTATTGTGCTTTTAGGAAGAGAACAGATGAGGTTTCCTTTCCCTGATTCCTTTCTAAATGTATCAACAGCTAATTCTGTTTTCTAGAGTTATTGTTTTAATTTTTTAAGCAACTTTCTTGGTAACTCTTCTTTCAAAAAAAATAAAAACTTTTGTTTATTGTACGAAGCAGAATAAATGATACTAGCATGAAAGGCTAGGCATGGAATTAGTATTTTTAAATGACACCATCTTGTTTCCCTAGAGAAAGATTCTAATGGGGGAAAATCTTGGCTCTGTTCTTCCAAACTTGGTCACATTTGGGTCCCCATTGTTTCAGCAGCAATTGAATTGCAGGCTAGTGGTGAAAGTCCAAAATCCAGGCTCTGACAACTGGGCTTTAGTCCAGCCTGTGCTGCCAACTTCCTCAGGCAAAATATTTCATCATTCTACACCTTAGTTTCTGTCTCTGTAAAATGGGGGAGTTATAGCAATTCTCTCATGAGGCTATCAGGAGGCTCGTACAAATGGGATTGTGCCCAGAAAGCCTGGTCCAGCATCTGGATCATGCCATGACTTGATAAATGCCAGCTGCTATCATGATCTCCCTTCTGACATTAAATACCTGTCCACCCATTACAGCATGAAAATGCCCAGCTTCCCTCTGCCTCTCTTGGAAACACTGAAGTTCTTGCTCAGGGGTCTTTCAAGAGGTAGCTTTTCTTCACCTGCCTTCACTTGTCCAAAGGGATGTTGAAAGTCACTGTTTAGTCTTTCTGATTTGTGAATCAGAAAATGTAAACCGGAGCCCACATATGGAAGAATGTGGTTTTAGTTACTTGTAATAGCCACCAATAGTATGTGTGGCAATGCTCCAAAAAGCACAGCATCTGTTATCTCTTATCAGGAAGACGGGAAAGGGTTGGTACCAGATATGGAGGTGAAGTGACTCCAAGTAGTGGGAGGGGACTCCAGATTGTCAGTGAGCTAGGCATTTGGGGTCATGGGAAAAGCACTCCAAGAGACTAGCCAGGGTCCAGTGAATACCCTGTATATTGTTCTGAAATACCCAGTCTCAGAAGGAGAGCAAGCAATGCTACCCAAGGCCTATTTCACAGAACAGTAATTATGTGGGTGCTAAGAGGTACTCACATAATCACCCCAAAGCATATGTGGTCAAACACAATTGGAATAGTCAGGTGAAACAGCTTTAACACAGTCCTTTCTTGTGAGACTCTGAGGAGCCTTTGCTATGCTAACATTAATTGAGAGTCTCCAAGTAGATGAAGAGTGGAATGTGCTACACAGCTTTGAAAGCCTGTGTGGCCTTGGTGCCCTCTGTGTCTCTTAAAATTCATTATACTGGCCTGGCATAAGGCAGAACACATCTCAGAACATGTAGATAAATAAGAAGTATTCGTGGGGGATGTGGGAGGTGCAGTGGGCTGAGGAGGGCGCTATAGCAGCTAGAGAAATAGGTTTCAAGGCAGAAGATAAGGGTGGTGTGAGCACCTCAAAGATTCTCTGAACACAAGGAAGAAATCTGGTGTAGGACAAAGGCTTCTGGAGAGTCAATGATGCTAATCAAATACCAGAATTGTTGCCTTAGGTTTGGGGCACCAAGCTTTTCCTTTTCTACTAATGACAAATTAAGATATCCTAGTTAGTCAGCTGCACGTGAATTTCAAATAGAAAATGAAATTCCTGGCAGTGAGGATTCTGAAATGCTGCTGTAGGTTTGTGAGATGGAGATGTTTGGATTAATTTTCCAACCAGAGGTGTGGACCACATAAGCCCTGGGTCTCTTAAGGCCCTCCAGTTCTGAAGAGAGCAATTCAGAAACCTAGGGCTTTTAAACAACTACACTAAACACGAAAAAAACACCCATCCTATGGTTGGAAACAGAAAATAGTGTGATACTCTCTGACCTGAGTGAATTTGTCCTGATAAATAGCTATACCTACAATAATACGGTGTTGAGTGGTGGACAATTTATTCCTTAGTTTCTAGACACCTTGCAAGCAAGATTACTGTGTTGAAAGTCTGCTCCCTTATTTTGAAATATATTTTTGGGCCAAGAAAATGGAGTGTTCATTTCATTTGTGAGTCATGTGAAGGCAGGTGCTCCCAACTCTCTATCCACTCCTCTGCTGAGCAGCACTTTTGCTGTCTCTATTTAGAAGATCAATCCCCAGTTCTGAAACCAGCTGCTGATGGGTGCCCTTCATGGAGTTATTAACCAAGTCATGGGGAAGTGGGAAAGAGCCTGATAAATGCGGTCATGACCGGAGGCCTTTATCTTCCACCTGAGTCCATTGTGAATCTCCCAGAGAGGGTTCTGGGCTGGGAGTGGGGGCCAGAGTGCAAGGCTGCACCTGGGTGGCTGCTAACCTTATCCTCTGCACCCTTCTTGAAATCTGCCTTTAGTAAAAAAGGTACCCCGAGGGACCAGGGGTTTTTATGGCTTCAGAACCAGAGCTTCTGAGAAATGCCCTAGTAGGGGGGGAGAAAAAGGCAAATAAAGTCAGAATAAAGAAAAATAAACAGCTGGAGGGAAGGTGCCATCTTAGGTTTCTTATCTTAAAATTTTGATATTCTCCTTTGACTTCCTCTGAGAGCTGTGAAGACATGTCACTCAAACTGACAGTGTATTGGAAGAGGAGTAGAAGGGAGAAGGCGGGAGAGCGGGGTGACAAAAATAAAGTGGGGAAAAAAGGCTCAGGCCAGAGAAAATGAATTAGAGCAAAGATGCTTTGGAAACAACTGCCAGGTCAGATGGGTGTGATCAAAGGTTTACTGATGCTGTGTGGGGAAAAAAATCATTAAGAAAGGCCAGAACAAGACAGTCGATTCCAACCAGAGCCACAAATAAAACACATTCAAAGCAGTGCCATGGGGTAGCCTTTCTGTTACAGCCGGCGAAATAAAAACAAGCTGATGATAGTTGGAAACACCAACAACAGAACAAAAGGAGATACTGATGTGAAGGAAAACAGTGCTTCTTACCCAGTTCAGTTATCATTAGAATGTGCGTCCCACTGTTTTTTTCCTGATTGACTGATACCAAAGGCAACTTGCCCGGTTTAGCTAATTGGATACAGCATTTAAGGGTTGGGGAAAGGGAGTGGAGGAAAGTACAGAAAAAGAAGAGAGTGAGGGAATAACAGAGGAAACATTCTCAAGTAAAGGGACCCCGGACCATAGGTAGTTTGTATTTGTCTTGGGGGAAGAGGCCACTCTACAGTTTTGCACACTTAATAATGGTCATAGGGAGTGCCATGGCCAGGTTAGAAGTTAGATTCTATTGTCCGACCAACATGGCCCTCAAAACCCCATCATTTTGGGGGCCAGAATGGCATTTGCTGAAAATGGCTTTTGGCTGAGATATTCAACTATAATACGTTAAATGTGGAGTTATTACACATTAGCCCAGGGCTTCTACCTTGTTTCCAAAATGGGTTTGGCTTAGATCCGAGGCTTTGCATATCAGTGGAGGGCTCAGATTGTAGGAGCTGTCCAGACAGAATGCTCAAAAGAGGTTCTTACAGTAAAAATCACCAGAAAGAATCCATGAACTAAGCCTTTCCTCCTTTACTCTCCATTCCCAATTGTATGCCCCAATTGCAAATCCATCATCTCATGCTCCTTTGCAAACAGTGACCAGCATGAAGGAAACTGTCTATTCATCTCAGAAGAAAGATAGATCAGTTTTCCCTTCCAGTAATCTGCCATATTTCTGCCCATACCTTTCTCCCAGCTCCCTCAAAACAAACCCCATAGCAGCTACAAAGTTGAAAGGGCTAAGAAACAAACCAACCTCCTCATATCCTTTGTGGTTTGAAAGAGAGAACAAAAATCCCCCCCAAAGCTGACATTGACCCCTACCTAGTTCAGTGATGATGGGGATGTTGACCCCAGTAGTGATGGATGGTTGACGTAACATCCCGTGCACTGGGCTGTTATCTGGAGAGGATCTATCCATTCCTGGAGGTGTGAACCCTGGAGGGAAACAGAGGAGGAAGAAAAATCAGAGAAGTAGAAAATTTAGAAAGAGAGTACACTATATACACACAACCCAAAAATGTAGCTTATGCATTATTCACAGGTCAACAATTAGTATTCCCAGGATAAACTCTGATGAGTTTTTTATTCTTTAGAAGGACAAGGTAGGAAACCATTATAATCGTAACTCACTTCATAGTTCTCTAAAAAGTCCGGACTCCACACCAATTATTTATTCTGCTCATAAATTTTGGCTCCCATCTCTTTCCAGGGACACAGGAGAATTATCCCCTGTTTCCCCTTGCAGTTAGATATGGCTATGTGACATATGAAATGCTCTGGCCCATGGAAAGTGAACAGAGCAATGCATATCACTGCTGGTTCAGGTATTGGATGGCCATCTCTCTCTTCCCAGGCCATGGCAACTGTGAGGACACAGGTTACCATGGAGATGAAAGCTCGACAGCATCACTGGACAGTTGCCCAGACCCACAAAGCATTCTGAGTGAGTGAAAAATAAAGCTGTGTTGCTTTAATCCTCTGAGATTTGTTTGTTTGTTTGTTTGTTGTTACCACAACATAACCTAACCTGGCCTGACTGTTACCGTAAACCAATCAATTTCTTATCCTCTTGCTGGCGAGTGACTTAGGCCTCAGTTTTCACAGAGTTCTGGCCAATGGGAGGTGTAAGGAAATCTTCCTGGGGCTTTCAGGAAGTGTTTCTTTGCTCTTAAAAAGAAACACATAGGAAGAGATTCTCTTTTAATTTACTGAGCACTGTTTTATGTGCCTGTAGTGTCAGGAACTGAGGCACCAGCTAAGGGCATAACTAACTTAGTGATATTGGCTCAAGTGAATGACAGGAAAAGCTGTCCTGGAGTTCCTGGGGCAAGCAGCCTGGAGCCATCTCACCTCGGGATTTCTCCCTATGTGAGATTTTATACACATAAACACACACACACACGCGCACACACACATGTATTTATACATATACATACACACAATATAATACGATGTACATATTTTTTCTGTTTAAGCTAAATGGAGAAGGAGTTTACTTGCACCTAAATCCTCCTGACTGATGTATATGCCACCTGCTTACGGCTGATCCCTTGAACTTCTGAGCGTGCCCAACACAGACCACATAAGGTATATGTGGACACGGGAAAATTGGAAAGCAGCCTGCTGGGTCTCCAACTTTGCAGTTTGGGCTTCTTTGGGTCTCAGGTCCAAGTCCCAAGTACATACCTGGATGAGGTTGGAACAACTGTAACTTTTAGTTTAGTAAGAGTGAGAAATATCCTGGCTAGGCAGAATGGCTGCCTCGTTAAGGTTTTGCATAGACACATATCAATATTAGAAATCCATTTACCTCCTGCATTCATCTGGTGAAAATTATTTTTTCTAATGAAGCATATGGCATCTCCACGCAAGTGGCAAGACCCAGTGCACTTACATTTAGATGACAGGCAAGCATTCACATTCACTTCGGTTTTTCATTTTTGCCCTCAGCAGAATGCTACATGGGCTTATCAATGAATTAGGGATGAATTTTAGGAACAAAGTCACTCGCTAAATTTCCAAGGACAAAACTCCAAATAGATTATTATGTGTCCAGATCCCTGACTCACTTTCCAGCAATGTGACAAGATTGTGTTGAGTCTGGCATTTTGGCTAGGTGTGAGTCAGGAATGAAATAAGGGAGCTCAATAATTGCCTATTGTTTTGGAGGTGCATAATGCATAAAATGCCAGAGAAATATAAAAGGGTTTTCTTACTTTCTGCTCTCCTGTGTATACATTTCTTACCACTGAGTGCCATACTTTCAAAAAGAAAAACAAAGTTTTACTTAATATCCATTCCCTGACTGCACTTAAATTGACTCTTTACATTGATATACTATGAAAAGGGTAAGTCATTTGATTGACATTGTAGTGTCCATCTTTTCAAACTTTGGAATATGTGTTTTTCAGCCAACCACATAACCAAAAACATGCATTTTTAAATGCTAGCTATTTTCTTCGTCTAGGATGGTGAAGGGGAAACTAAACTGTTTTCATCAGAAGTTTCATTCAAAAGCATGAAAAACTGGAAGTGACAGCTGTGCAGATTCAGTGGATGTGACGTTTTTGAATTTCTTCAACTTGACAAGTAAACACCTTAAATCGGTAATGCTATATGCATAATACATGGCCTGTATTTTGACATCCATCATCAAATGCTGACTTGAGAAAATACGGGTTTGTACGTCAAGGAATAGCACCCGTAAAGCAGGGAGAAATGCAGGTCACACGATATTAGGAAAACTGTATTTCATTACAGAACTCGCAACAAGCCACAGCATCCTTTTATTTCATCTTATTTAAAGATTCCATTTTCAGCTGTGAAAAGACTCAATTCTTTTGCATGAAACCTTCATTTAGAAATGACATGCTTGCTTCATAGGCTTCTTTCATTTTGCTTTCATATTCCATTTTCCCCTTCAGTCACCAGGCCTGGTTCCATTAGCATCTGCAACTGACAAACTATGGTGGGTGTCCAAAGACATCTCTCCGTTGAAGGCCTGACTCTCCCCCATGCGTGACTCCCCAAAAAAGTGTGCTTTTATTGGCAAGAAAACTTCATGCCTCTTTTTGCTTCCCTACTTTTCTAGTCACAAATTTTTAAAAGAAAAAGTCAACAACAACAGCAAAATTGGTTTCCTCTTTTTCCCTGGTATAGAGTTATGTTAAAAGTGAACACAATTTATTAGCATTGTTTCTTTCTTAGGGGTTCTGATATGGGAAAATGATAGTCAGAAATGGCAGGATGCCCCAGATTCCTTAAATGGCTTTGGAGAGAAGAGAAATTCAGGCACCTTCCATACAGGGATGAGGCAATTCAGCCTTTGATGCCACAGGATGGTATCCACCCCATTCCTCATAGCTGCATTTGATAAAGGGGCAGGTCTAAACTGTGGCCCAGTCACTGACCGTCTTGCTCCCCTTCTCATTATTGCTTGCAGCCATGGTTATATCGTGGGTAGCACCTGAAGTCTCTCTACATTAAACAACACCCTAGTTCTGCATGTGAAAGCACTGGCACGTGGAATATACTCCAGGGATCTACAGCTAGAGAACAGTGAAACTGGGAAACACTCCCTTCATTAGTTAAACTAACACTTGGGAAATTAATTTTAGAAACAACCATGTATTTTGCCAGAAAAGATGACTAAGAATATCACCATCAGAGACGTGGAATGAGAAGTCCTCAATCAGGAAAAGACTGAAGTTTAAATCATCCACAGTCAAAGCTATCATCAGATGGGCTCCTGATTCTTTAGCTATGTCCCCATAGCACTTTGTTGATCATGGCCATGGGAGGCAAGGTTTGTGCTAAAAATGACTTCCATATGTTTGTTGACCATTTGTATATAACATCACTAATGATCAGGAAAATGCATATCAAAACCACAATGTGATACCACCTTATTCCTGCAAGAATGGTCATAATCAAAATTTCAAGAAACAGTAGATGTTGGCATGGATGCAGTGAACAGGGAACACTTCTACACTGCTGGCGGCAATGTAAACTACTACAGCCACTATGGAAAACTCAAAGAACTCAGTGTGGAGTGTGGAGATTCCTCAAAGAACTAAAAGTACATCTACCATTTGATCCAGCAATCCCACTACTGGTATCTACCCAGAGGAAAAGAAGTCATTATTCAAAAAAGATACTTGGACATGCATGTTTACAGCAGCACAATTCACAATTGCAAAATCATGGAACCAACCCAAATGCCCATTAATCAATGAGTGAATAAAGAAACTGTAACATGATATATATATATATATTGAATATATACATACAGTCATACAAAGGAATGAATTAACAACACCTGCAGTGACCTGGAAGAGATTGGAGACTATTATTCTAAGTGCGGTAACTCGGGAATGGAAAAACAGACATTGTATGTTCTCACTGGTATGTGAGAACTAAGCTATGAAAATGCAAAGGCATAAGAATGATACAATGGACTTTGGGGTCTTAGGGGTTAAGAGTGGGAGGGGAACGAGGGATAAAAGACTACAAATGTGCAGTGTAGACTGCTTGGGTGAAATGGTGCACCAAAATCTCACAAATCACCACTAAAAAACTTACTCATGCAACCAAACACCACCTGTACCCCAATACCCCAATAACTTATGGAAACAATAAAAATAAAATAATAACTTCCAAAGACCACCTGACCTCCTTACACTGAAGTTTTCTCCCCACTCCAATCTTCAGTGGCCAGTGTGGCAGGCTTTCGTTATCTATTTCATTCATTCAGCATGAGGCATAAATGCCTTGACCAACTTTATCTCATGACAAGTATTCTCATTCCATATACTGTATAAGAACTTTAGGTCAGAGACTGGATTTTCATTTCTTCGAACTTCCCAGATTATCTACAAAATGCCCAGCACATAGAAAAGAAATAGAATGAAATTGTTAACAGCATGGGCTGTAAAGTCAGGTGTCATGGATTCAAATTCTGGCACCTCCACTTATGAGCCATGGCACTATCAACATTGTGCAGACTGTCTCCAAGTCTGCTTCTCCATCGATAAACCAGAAATACCTCCTACACAGGACAATTGTAAGGCTAAAATAAAATAAAATAAAATAATGTATTGAAAACATTTAGTACAATACCTGGTATGAAGCAAGTACTCAAAAATGCTGGCTACCAATATTAATATTTTATTAGACATACATTAAGTATTGTGGATCACTTCCCCTTCCATATGGACAAAGAACTGAAGAAGTATTTAGTAGATTCTTAAAAAAGAATTTTTACACAGAGAAAATCCTAGAATATTAATGAGAAGGCAATGAGCATTGTGTGTGTGTGTGTGTGTGTATATATATTCTATATACTGTATAAGAACTTTAGGAATATATGTATACATATATACACACACACACAAAATATTCCTAAAGTTCTATATGTATACATATATGTATATATA